TATTCTTTTTCAGAGTCAGACATGATTTATAATCTAAATTTAATGTAGACGCAATTGTTTAGATCACATAAAGTATACAAATAACAAATAAATAATATTAATATTAGAAATATTAGAAATATTAGAAATAATTAAATGTAATTAAAAAATTAATTTTACTTACATGTTCTCTCTTCGATGGCTCGACTTGAACTGAGGCTTGAAATAATAATTTCACTTTATATAAGGTAATTAAATGTTGACGCAATATTAATGTTGACGCAATTATTAATGATGACGCAATTATATATAATGACGCAATTATTAATGTTGACGCAATTATTAATGATGACGCAATTATTAATGATGACGCAATTATTAATGTTGACGCAATTATTAAGTTCACTAACAACAAATAAAAAATTAATATTATATATTAGAAATATTAGAAATAATTAAATGTAATTAAAAAATTAATTTGACTTACATGTTGTCTCTTCGATGGCTCGACTACAACTGAGACTTGAAATAATAATTTCACTTTATATAAGGTAATTAAATGTTGACGCAATATTAATGTTGACGCAATTATTGTTGACGCAATTATTAAGTTCACAAACAACAAATAAAAAATTAATATTATATATTAGAAATAATTAAATGTAAGTAAAAAATTAATTTGACTTACATGTTGTCTCTTCGATGGCTCGACTAGAACTGAGACTTGAAATAATAATTTCACTATATAAGGTAATTAAATGATGACGCAATTATATATGATGACGCAATTATTAATGTTGACGCAATTATTAAGTTCACAAACAACAATTAAAAAATTAATATTATATATTAGAAATAATTAAATGTAAGTAAAAAATTAATTTGACTTACATGTTGTCTCTTCGATGGCTCGACTAGAACTGAGACTTGAAATAATAATTTCACTATATAAGGTAATTAAATGTTGACGCAATATTAATGTTGACGCAATTATTAATGATGACGCAATTATATATAATGACGCAATTATTAATGTTGACGCAATTATTAATGATGACGCAATTATTAATGATGACGCAATTATTAATGTTGACGCAATTATTAAGTTCACTAACAACAAATAAAAAATTAATATTATATATTAGAAATATTAGAAATAATTAAATGTAATTAAAAAATTAATGTTGACTCAATTATTAATGTTGACTCAATTATTAATGTTGACTCAATTATTAATGTTGACTCAATTATTAATGTTGACTCAATTATTAATGTTGACTCAATTATTAATGTTGACGCAATTATTAATGTTGACGCAATTATTAAGTTCACAAACAACAATTAAAAAATTAATATTATATATTAGAAATAATTAAATGTAAGTAAAAAATTAATTTGACTTACATGTTGTCTCTTCGATGGCTCGACTAGAACTGAGACTTGAAATAATAATTTCACTATATAAGGTAATTAAATGTTGACGCAATTATTAATGATGACGCAATTATTAATGATGACGCAATTATTAATGTTGACGCAATTATTAAGTTCACTAACAACAAATAAAAAATTAATATTATATATTAGAAATATTAGAAATAATTAAATGTAATTAAAAAATTAATTTGACTTACATGTTGTCTCTTCGATGGCTCGACTACAACTGAGACTTGAAATAATAATTTCACTTTATATAAGGTAATTAAATGTTGACGCAATATTAATGTTGACGCAATTATTAATGTTGACTCAATTATTAATGTTGACTCAATTATTAATGTTGACTCAATTATTAATGTTGACTCAATTATTAATGTTGACTCAATTATTAATGTTGACTCAATTATTAATGTTGACTCAATTATTAATGTTGACTCAATTATTAATGTTGACTCAATTATTAATGTTGACTCAATTATTAATGTTGACTCAATTATTAATGTTGACTCAATTATTAATGTTGACTCAATTATTAATGTTGACTCAATTATTAATGTTGACTCAATTATTAATGTTGACTCAATTATTAATGTTGACTCAATTATTAATGTTGACTCAATTATTAATGTTGACTCAATTATTAATATAATTAGATATCTGTTTATGGCTGAGTTATAAACAATTTCTAATTTTAGGTTTATTAAAAAGTAGATTTGTCGGATATTTACCTTATTTTTCAATAAGGTACAAAGTTACCATTATTATATTTTGTATGTTAGTAAATAAATTATAAAAAATTTTCTATTTTTGTATCTTAAACAATAAAATATTTATGATTTTATTAGTATTTTTTATTAATCCGTCATTTTGTCTATGTTCCTGAAGAGATATCAAAATTTTAATGCATATATTTTATGCTTGTTTTTGATGCTTTATACAAATCTATACTTAAATTTTTTTTAAAAAAAAATTCTGTACTTTGGCCGTCATTTTGTCTATGTTCCCGAAGAGATATCAAAATTTTAATGCAACTTTCAATACATTATTAGTAGTCCTCTAACCGAATCTGAAGTCAGAATTTCAAAATTCGCAAAAAAAATGCTACACACACACACACACACACACACAAAAAGGCTCGTATAGATTTCAGAAAACAAAACTTTTTCAAAGTTTTTTTTGAAAATTACAAAAAAAATATATGATTATATAAAATTAAATAGAAAATAATATATTTATTAAATTAAAAAAATAATAATAAATATAAATACCTTGAACATTTTGACAACAATATTGAATGATAATTATAGTTACGATAATTATCAATAAAAATATACCCGAAAATCTAAATTGTTGCATTATGATTTTAATAATTAAAATAAATTATATTAATATATATATAGATATTAAATCTAATAGTAATCAACTATATATAAATACTAAAAATTAAATTGTTGCTCTTTTTATATTTTTTTTTAATTTGAAATGAATAAACAATTTTTTATAAAAAAAAATTTATTTATTTCATAATAAAATTTAATGTCTAAAAAAATAATGTCAAGTAATAATTAATTCAATTATTTCAAAATCATTTCATCAAAGTTCAACTATTAAAATGTTATTAATTATTACTAATCATTACTAAATATTATTATTAAATAAAATAATTAATTTCAGTTAAATATTTTTTTTTGATTATTATTTTTTTATCAGTCAATATATTTCAGTTAGTAAATAATTAATATTCAATTATTAATAAAATTTAACTTATATATTCAATAATTTTTATTATTAAAGTTACAATTAGTTAAATACATTTATTTTTTTCTTAGATTTAATAGTATTTTAAAACTCTAAAAAATTGATTATTGTGCAAAACAATGATACATGCAATTTATAAATTATATCAATAAATGATAATTTTTTATAACCAATTTATTTTTCAATGTCATATATATATTTAAGATCAATAAAAATATTAATTATACTAATACAAGACTATGTATTAGTAAAATATGATTTTTAAAAATTAAATTAATTAAAATTATTAGTTTTATAAATCTCATTAAATATTAAATAACAAGAAAAAAAGTTATCCAAGTTTTAATAAAGTTTTTAATGCAGTACTATTTTATATTTAATAAAAACTTATTTAAATATATTATATTATCAATATATATTAAAGTCAACAAAAATCTAAACACAATAATTACTAAACTTTTACTTATAATAAACTGTACCATTAAATATATATTATATATATTAAATATTTAACTGTTTAAATGCACTTACCAAGATTAAAAGTTTTTAAATATTATTTAAAATTAATTATCGCATTAATTATACATAAAATAAATATTTTTATTAACATATCATTATTGTTATCTTTTATCATGTAAATGTTGTAAACATTTAAAAATATATTATTAAATAAAAATATACTAAATCATTACTTTTATTATTGTATAAACTTATATTTTTATTTAATTTAAATGTTTATTAAAAAACAAACTGATAATTTATTTAATAAAAATTACATTTTATTTATGTTAATATTCTATGAAATATTATATTAATTACTAATTACTTTCACAGGAAATTAACTAAAAAAAATATGAAATATTATATTATTATTTTGAATCATAAAAATATAGTAAATTTAAAAAAAAAAAAGTTTATTTGTATTTTAATAAACATTAAAATTTTTTTATATATTTTTTGTATTAATGTTATTATCACTTGTTCAATGTTTTAACTAAATATATATTTTTATTTTATCATTAGATTATTATTATTATTACTATGTTTTAAATAAATAAAAAAAAAGTGATTATAACTATAGCATAGTTGAATTAATTGTATAATATTTAATATATATAATTTAATTGTAATCTATATTATTATTATTACTAAATCGTTAATATTTATTAACTATTATTATTATTATTATATAATGTAATAACAAAATCTGTATTTTAAGTGTTTTTAATTTATTAATAATGTTTATCAAAAATAATAATAATAATAAATGAGTGAATTAGCTATTGTTGATATTGGTAAATTTTCAAGATTATACGGTAATAATTATAAACAAATTGGTCAAGGTGGTTTTAGTACTGTTTATAAAGTTATCGATGAAAATGGCCAACAATTTGCTATCAAACGCATACAATTGAAAGGTATATAAAAATTATTATAAATTTAATTATTATTATTTTAAAAATTTTGATTATAAGTCTCTAAAAATATATAATAATAAATATATTTATAACTAAAAAACAGTTTAGTTGAATGAGTGAATTGTTTATTATTAATAATAATAATTTAGTTTTAATTTTATCGCTAATATTTAAAAAAATATATCAATAATCTGTAATCATATTATTATTTACTAACTATTTTATATTGATGATGTTGATTTGGGGGTGGGTGGGGTGGGAACAATAGTGGGCATATGTCTATTGGACAAACTATATTTCATTAATATAATTATAATTTATGTTAGTAAAACATATTTTTAATATTAATTATATCAATAAAAATAAATATCATATTAAAATAAACTCAAATATACTTATGTTTGGATGAAACGGGGGGCAATAGTTGGCATATGTGTACTCGACAAACATGATACCTGTGCCGACATAACTGAGCATAGTCAACTGTCCACAGAAACAACTAAACAGGACAAACACTTGACATTAGGTATAGGTTTGCCAATAATTATGCTAGTTTATGCTATCTAACTATCTATATCTTAGATGACTACCTAACTGGCCAAACACTTAATGAACTGAACATATTGTTGACATTGAAATCCCAGCAAACAGTCGTCGACTACTTGAGCTATTGGTTTGAGCCGGAGATGCTGTACATTCAGATGGAGTTATGTGACGGTAGTCTACGGGACATACTGTCGGCTAAACAACAATTGTTTACCAATGAATGCGATAACTATCAGCTAAACTATCTACTATCGTGGCACCTGGCCATGGACTCGCTCAGTGCTATACAGTTTCTACATACAAGGGTACCGCCTCTGGCGCACCGGGATATCAAACCTGATAATATACTGTTTGTACGCAAACACAACAACAACAAGGAGGAACTACAGTTTAAGATAGCCGATTTTGGACTGGCCAAAATACAAACCGATCTGGCCATCGGGAACAGTAGGTTCGGTGGTGTAGGTAATGCCAAATATATGGCACCGGAATTATTCACGGAAATGCCTACTAAACCATACAATCCCTTAAAAATAGACATCTATAGCTCAGGTGTTATGCTTATGGATATTTTCGATGTCGACCTAATTTTGTAAATTAACTATTAATAATAATAATAATAATTTATTTCGTTAATTATTAGTTATATATTAATAATTAATTTTATATTTCCATCATCATATTATATACATACTGTATGTATATTTAGTTGGGAACCCTATGACCTGGGTACAGTTTATGGTGACGATACAATTGGCTATAAATATTCAAAACAAAAGTACATTGATGCTAATAAATTTAAAAAAAAATTATTATAAAATAATTTAATTATTTATTTTATTTCATATTTTATATATTTTTTTTGTTGATGTATAGAGAGGATCAACTTTTTGAACTAATTGATCAATCAGTTAGACTAATATGTGATGAAAGGCCTACTATTGGACAAATGATTGATATGTTGGATATTATTAAATATAATGATACAAATTTTACCATGGTCAATTACTGTATTGATGATTGCCAAAATAAACAATATGATAATATTAAATTATATTTAAATATGAAAATCACTAGTAATAATAGTTAAAAATAATAATAAAAATTAGCTGTATTAGTTTGAAATATGTGTGTAAAATATATTTATTATTAATTTTGTAAAATAATAATAATTAAAATAATGATATTTATAATTTCATAATAATAACAATTTTTAAAAAATGATAACAAGTTTAAAAAACAACATTTTTTTATTATTTATTGTTACTATTTTTATTATTAAATAATAACATATGATATTAATATGATAGTAATTGATATGATATGATATTAATGTTAATAAAATATAAAATTACTGTATATTAAGATATATTTAATAATAGTAATAGTAATAGTAATAGTAGTTGTAATAATAAATTAAGTAATAATGATAATTGTTGAATTTTTATTATTATTATAGTTAATATATATATATATATAATATTTTATGATTTTTTCAAAAAATAATTATTATTTCTATAGTAATTAATAACTGTAATAATACCTGTACTTTATTTATTGTTATTATTATATTATATCTATTAACTAACTAACTATTAATAGATTTATGAATATACTGTACAGATATTAATATAATTATAAACATTATATTTCTTAAAAATAAATAAATATATTTTATAATTAATAATAATAATTATTATTATTATTATTAATGAATTATCTATTGTTGATATTGGTAAATTTGCTAGATTATACGGTGATAATCATAAACAAATTGGTCAAGGTGGTTTCAGTATTGTTTATAAAGTTACCGCTAATAATGGCCAACAATTTGCTATCAAACGCATACAATTGAAAGGTATAGAAAATAATATAAATTTTAATAATAATTATTATTTTTTAAAATTTTTGATTTCTAAGTCTCTAAAAAATTATAATAATAAATATATTTATAATTAAAAACAGTTTAAATTGAATGAGTGAATTGTTAGTGATTATATAATTAGTGTGTTATTAATAATATTTTAGTTTTAACTTTATGGCTAATATTTTGCTAGTAAAATATTTTTTTATTAACATATTTAACATAAATATCTATAATATACAATAATAATAATAATAATAATAATATTAATTATAAACTTATCATGGACAACTATTTTAATAATAATGATAATTTCAAAGATCAACTATATGATAATATTAAACTATATTTAACTAGCAAAATTAATACTAATTAAATATATATATAAAAAAAAGTATTTAGTGTAAAATATATTTATTATAATTTTGTAATATAATAATAATGATAACAAGTTTATAAACAAAATAATTAACTATTTTATTATTTATTATTACTATATCTAATCATATGTAGATACTGTATATTAATACATATTTAATAAAAAACTATAATAATAATAATAATAATAATAATTGTTGAACTTTTATTATTATTATTATCATTATTATTGTTAATATTCAAAGTTTTTTTGTTGATTAAAATACTCAAAAAATAATAATATTATTTCTATAGAAATTAATAACTTTAACATTACTTTATTTTTTTATTATATTATATCACCATAGGATTGTAATCTTAAATACAGTATTATTATTATTATTATTATAAATTATTAATAATATATTTATGAATACACTGTACAGATACTAATTAATAATTATAAACTTATTTTTCTTATTAAAAAAATATATTTTATAATAATAATAATATTTAAAAATTATTTTTTTTTAAATATGAATGAATTAGCTATTGTTGATATTGGTAAATTTGCTAGATTATACAGTGATAATCATAAACAAATTGGTCAAGGTGGTTTCAGTACTGTTTATAAAGTTACCGATAATAATGGCCAACAATTTGCTATCAAACGCATACAATTGAAAGGTATAGAAATTATTATTATTTTTAATTATTATTATTATTAAAAATTTTAATTATTAGTCTCTACAAAATATAATAACAATATAATCATAAATATAAACATTAATTTATTATTAATTGTTTAGTAAAATATTTATAATTAAAAAACAGTTTAATTGAATCAGTGAATTGTTTATTAATAATAATAATATTATAGTTTTAATTTTATGGTTAATATTTTTTATTAAAAAAATATATCAATAATATGTAATGTTATTATTAATTACTAACTATTTTATATTGATGATGTTGATTTGGATGGGGGGGTGGGGTGGGGATAATAGTGGGCATATGTGTATTGGACAAACATGATACATGTGCCGACATAGTTGTACGTGATGTGCCTAAAGAGCGCCGTCAACTGGCCACACAAACAACTGAACAGGACAAACATTTGACATTAGGTATAGGTGCCCAACCAAATAATTAATACTAATAAAGTTAGCCTATCTATCTGTCTATATATCTATATATAAGATGACTATCTAACTGGCCAAACACATATAGTTCGTGAGCTGAACATATTGTTGACATTGAAATCCYAGCAAACAGTCGACTATCTGAGCCATTGGTTTGAGCCGGAGATGCTGTACATTCAGATGGAGTTATGCGACGGTAGTCTACGGGACATACTGTCCGTTAAACAACTAATGTTTACCAATGAATGCGATAACTATCGGCTAAACTATCTACTATCGTGGCACCTGGCCATGGACACACTGGGTGTTATCAAATATTTGCACAATCATCAGCCACCAATTGCGCACCGGGATATCAAACCTGATAATATACTGTTTGTACGCAAACACATCAACAACAAGGAGGAACTACAGTTTAAAATGGCCGATTTTGGACTGGCCAAAATACAAAACGATTTGGCCACAGTGACCGGTACGTGCGGTGTCGGTACGACCAAGTATGTGGCACCGGAAGTATTATCAAACATGACTACTGATCGATACAATCCGTTTAAGATAGACATCTATAGCTCAGGTGTTATGCTTATGGATATATTTGATGTCGACATTTGTTTGTAAGTTTTGTGTGTGTGTGTGTGTGTGAATAGTATTATTATATTATAGTATATTAATTAATTATTTTTAAAAAATAAAAATAAGTAAATATGAAAAAAATGATAATTTAATATTTTAAATATATTTAAATTATTATTTTCTACATTTATTTTTAATTTTATATAATTAGCTGGGATGCCGATGACCCTGGTACTGTTTGCGATGACGACACAATTGGCTACAAGTATTCAAAAGAAAAGTAATAATAATTATTATAATACAATTTAATTATTATTATTATTATTATTAAATTAAAAATCATAATAAAAATATGTGATTTTTGCTGTTATTATTATTATTATTATTATGTATAGAGAGGATAAACTATTTGAACTAATGGATCAATCAGTTAAACAAATATGGGATGAAAGACCAGATATTCAACAATTAATGGATATGTTAGATAAAATTAAATACAATAATAATAATATTAATTATAAACTTATCATGGACAACTATTTTAATAATAATGATAATTTCAATGATCAACTATTTGATAATATTAAACTATATTTAACTAGCAAAATTAATACTAATTAAATATTTAAAAAAAATAAATATTTTTAATAATAATTAATTTTGTATATCTAATTATTATTTATTATTTTCTACATTTTCTCGAATGTTTGCGATGAAATTTTTAATTATATATATATATATTATAAATTAATATTATTTATTAAATGTTTGGAAAAACTTATAATAAAAAATGAAATTTATTAATACTACTAATATACTAATAGTACTAATAGTATAATAATAATACTATATAATACTATAATACTAATAGTACTACAACTACTTATTATAATAATAATAGATATTTAATATAAGATATTTAATTTCATTGATTGATTGAAGTTAATAGGTTTGACAATTATATCGGGGGATATATATAGAGAGGAACTGTATGTCCATAAATGTTTGGTCATTCGGTACTGTTTCCAGGCGTTGATACCTGTCCTTCACCCTCATTGACCTTAATATCTAACTTTCCTCTAACAACTGTATGTAGAAGAAACAAATAAAAAATTATCGGTTTAAAAAATAAATTAAATTAGAAATTTATTTAAACAAAAATATATATATATATATATATATACCTGGAACAGTTAGTAGACAATTCATGATCAACATTATGGCAATCATTAACATTAGACAAACAAATCTATTTGCTTGTTGTTGTTGTTGCATGGTGATTTTAATTTATTTGTTAAAAAATTAAAAAATATTAACTTATAACTAGATTTATTAACTAGTAATATAGTTAGTATTTTTTTGAAAGTATATTTTTATAAAAAAAAAATGTTAATCTTTTTATACTTTTGATTATCAATGACAAAAGATCCTGTGTTGTTATAATTTTGTAATTAATAATTTTTTAAAAAAAATAACAATTAACTTATCATGCTAATTAATTAAAATTAATAGTTTTATTAATTGCTAATTATTATTAAAATGTAGTACAATAAAAAAATATTATTTTAACATTTGATTTAAAAAATCAATTTATTATTATTTGATGTCTTGATTTTTTTTATATAAAATACTTTAGATTTTAAATTGATTTTAAATTAAATTAAATTTTTAAAATAATTTAGTTTACTATTTAAGATAATATTCATAAACTGGTGTAATTTAATGTTATTATTGCTAATTACTTTACAATGATTATTATTTTTAGTAAAAATAATTAAATAAAAAAAATTATTATCAAGATCACAAAGTATATTAAATTATAAAATATATGTAAACTAATAATAATTTTCTATATAATAAACAATTTATATATATTGATATATAAATATATATTTTTATTTTAACAATAAAATAATTTATTTGACTTTTCGTATACTACTAATTAATTAATTAAAATTAAATACTTGTATTTTTAAATGTCTATAAAATATAAGATTTAAAAAAATGATTTGTATTATAATTATTTTCTACATATTGTCGATGACCCTGGTAATGTTTGCGATGAAAGTTTTAATTATATAAATATTATAAATAAATATTCTTTATTAAATGTTTGGAAAACTTATAATTTATTTTTTGTTTGTTTATTAAACTTGTATTTTTGTAATCCTTAGTATTATAATTAAAAAAATAAATACATATTAATTACATTTAAATATAAATGTTAACAATTACTAAACTTTTTATTTTAATTATTTATTTCAATAGAATACTTACTAATTGTTAATAATATTTATTTTCTTAAGTCTAGAATATATAATACATTATATACTTATATATTTCACATATATTTCTAATATATTTATAACAATACTACTACTACTACTACTACTACTACTACTACTACTACTACTACTACTACTACTACTACTACTACTACTACTACTACTACTACTACTACTACTACTACTACTACTACTAATTATAATTATTAAAACAAAAAGTTTTCCAAACAATTACTTTAAATTATATTATAATAATAATATTAAATAAAATTAAATGTTAACAAAAATTATATTTCTCTCTCTCTCTCTCTCTCTCTCTCTCTCTCTCTCTCTCTCTCTCTCTCTCTCTCTCTCTCTCTCTCTATCTCTCTATATATATATTAAATTAAATAAGTTTTTATTAATTTATTATAAAATGCAATTTACTTTATTAATTTGTTGTTATATTTAGAATATATATTTTAAATAAAAATAATATTTCTAATATATTTCTAACAATACTATTAGTAATACTACTACTACTACTTATAATAATAGATATTTAATTTCATTGATAATAGGTTTGACAATTATATCTGGAGTAGATATATAGAGAGGAACTGTATGTCCAAAAATATTTTAATCACTCGGTACTGTTTCCAGGCGTTGATACCTCTCCTTCACCCTCATTGACCATAATATCTATCGGCCCTTGTCCTCTAACAACTATATGTAAAAAAACAAATACAAAATTATCAGTTTTAGAAAAATAAAAATAAATTAAATTAGAAATTTATTTAAACAAAAATATATATATATATATAAATACCTGGAACAGTTAGTAGACAATTCATGATTAACATTATGGTAATCATTAACATTAGACCAACAAATCTATTTGCTTGTTGTTGTTGTTGTTGCATGGTGATTTTAATTTGTTTGTTAAAAAATTATTAACTAGATAAATTTACTAGTAATTTAAGATAATATTTTTTAGTAAAGTATACTTTTTTACAAATACCAAATGTTAATCTTTTTATACTTTTGATTATCAACGACAAAAAATACTATTGTTATAATTTTGTAATAAATTATTAAATAAAAAAAAGTAACATTTAACTTATCATGGTAATTAATCAAATTTAATAGTTATATTACTGCTTATTATTATTAAAATGTAATACAATAATAAAAAAATTATTATAACATTTGATTTAAAAAATAAGTTCATTATTATTATTTGATATCTTGATTTTATTAAAAAAAATATTTTAAATTTTAAATAAATTCTAAATTAAATTAAAAATTTTTAAATAATTAAGTTTACTATTTAAGATAATGTTCATAAACTGATGTACAGTTTAAAGTTATTATTGCTAATTACTTTACAATGATTATTATTTTTACAAAAAAATAAGTAAATAAATTATTAATATGAATGTTGGTATTTTTATTAGTAACTTGAACAGTATTTAAATGATTTATTTTTTTCAAATATATGTAAACTAATAATAATTTACTATATAATAAACAAGTTATATATAAATATATATATATATATATATTTTATTTTAACAATAAAATAACTTATTTGACTTATTGTATTCTACTAATTAATTAAAATTAAATAAAAATATTTTTAAATGTGTACAAAATATTATATTTAAAAAAATCACTGTATTATTCTCTCTCTCTCTCTCTCTCTCTCTCTATATATATATATATATATATATATATATATATATATATATATATTAAATTAAATAAGTTTTTATTCATTTACAATGATTATTATTTTTACAAAAAAATAAGTAAATAAATTATTAATATAAATGTTAGTATTTTTAGTAGTAGCTTGAATTGTATTAAAATGATTTATTTAAAAAAATATATGTAAACTAATAATAATTTACTATATAATAAACAATTTTTATATAAATAAATATATATTTTTTATTTTAACAATAAAATAACTTATTTGACTTATTGTATTCTACTAATTAATTAAAATTTAATAACTGTATTTTTAAATGTCTATAAAATATTATATTTTTTAATAAATGATTGCATTATGATTATTTTCTATTTATTGTCGATGACCCTGGATAAGTTTTAGTTATATAAATATTATTAATAGGGTATAACAATCTAAGAAATTATTTATTAAATGTTTGAAAAAATCCTAATAAAAACTGATATTTAATTTTTTAATTTATTAAAATTTGTATTTTTGTAATGCATAGGATAATAATTATTTATATACTGTATTATTAAATAAATTAATACACATTAAATACATTTAAATATAAATGTTAACAATTAATAAACTTTTTATTCAATCATTTTTTTAAATAAAATACTTTACTAATTGTTAATAACATTTACAATATTTTCTTATGTCTAGAATATACAATACATTATAATAAATATATTTATAATATATTTCTAACAATACTATTACTACTTCTACTACTATTTATAATAATAGATTAAATATAAGATTTGATTTAATATATAATACAATATTTAATTTGATTCATAATAGTTTAATAAATAAGTTACTTAATTATTAAACAAAATATTTTTCAAAACAATTAGTTTAAATAAAATAATATATAATTTATTTTAGTAATGCATATTATATTAAATTAAATGTTAACAAAAATTATATATATATATATATATCTAAATATTAAATTAAATAAGTTTTTATTCATTTATTTTAAAATGCAATTTACTTTATTAATTTGTTCTTATGTTTATAATATAGATTTTAAATTAAAAAAAAATATTTCTAATATATTTCTAACAATACTAATAGTACTATAACTACTTATAATAATAATAATAATAATAGATATTTAATTTCATTTATTGATTGAAGTTAATAGGTTTGACAATTATAACGGGTGTAGATATATATATATAGAGAGAGAGAGAGGAACTGTATGTCCATAAATGTTTGATCAGTCGGTACTGCCTTCAGGAGTTGATACCTGTCCTTCACCCTCATTGACCTT